TAAGTTCGGCTTTGCCAAGGAGCTCGCAACGCAAACCCTCAAGACCGTCACAAAGTGCCTAGGTTGAAATGATGAAGTGGATCCGACAAAGCAAAGGGAGACAGGATTGGCCATTTCTGGCTTATTAGCTGTCTTCAGCCAGTCATACCCAATACTGTGTGCCGGAATGCCAAGCCTATCGCAGTAGTATTCGCGTCAACCTACCCCCTTCCCCCGCACCCTCACCCCTGTTCTATGTGATCTCTACAATCACAGTCTTCACTTTCATTCCGTCTGACGAAGAGCTAGTGTCACAAGCTCGAAAATTCACGAGGTAAACTCCATTTTCCGACGAGCCTTCTTTCTACATTATTTTATATGTATGATAAATTCAATTGAATCTTCATACCTTGTCATCCATTCGGTTGTACAGATGAGCTGTTTGATCGTGACGGAGAGTTGCTGAATCGATTGCAATTCGAATTTACGTACATCACCTGTTGAACATTCTTCACTGCAAATCGTCGGCAGATCGCGTAAAATGAATGGTACGATTGCCTGTAGGATAACCTGCAATATATAAATTAGGGTGTTTCAAATTATCTACTTATCTGTTAGCGAGTTCTTGAAAGTCATCAGTACTATTTTATTTCATTTTAAAATGCATCTCGGAGTAACTAGGAAATAAAAGAGAGGTGTGGCAATCACTCTGTAAATGCCATAAGTAGCTCAAGGAGGATTAGGGTAAATAATCATTGCGTACAAATTCTGAACCACTTCTGCTGAAGGGCAGGCTATTTAGGTGTAAATCCTCCCTACCTTCGTGATTGTAAATGTAGCAATTAATCATAGTTAGGAGCACGCTGCAGAATGAACCATGTATCGCAAGCTTCGGTTTGTTTGAAAATCACGATTTTTTAAAATTCCATTAAAGGATAAAATCTAAGGCTAACATGCTCACGCAAGACATATTTAGATGACCGATCGATACCGCTTTTTGCGCAAGGGAAGAATACATATATGTTCCGTTGCTGTCAGTACGATAAGTATTGAGGATCAACCTCAGGTCCAGTCGACGGAATTTACCTAAAGACTCTTGTCGCACTTTCAGCAGCAAGATAATTTTAACGAATTTCTGTCACTTACTACACAGGTTAGCATACGTGAGTTTACAGGACGTGTACAAAGACAGGTTGCACTAAAGAAACATGAATGTAAACAACCAGTCCAAGGAGAAAGCGAATAATGTCTTTTCTTGATTCCTGAATGGCTAGGCTGGATGGGCATTAGTCAGAGTGGTGACAATTGGGCCATCAGAGCAATCGTCAATCTTCCTTAGACGTCCTGGGACTAGTGACCTATTAACTCCCTTCTGCGTGAGGACATTTGCGAGTTCCAGATCGACGCATCTTCGATTTAATCTCTCCCGACTTTGAGCAGTTTTATTTCCTATGGACTTACATTTCGCTGTTAGGTTTACATTTGACCGCTTTAGGTGCATTACATATGCGTCTTCATGCCGAAACCTGGGCCGGAATAGCCTGCCAACTTGGCCTCCGCTAAAAGGGCAACGAAATAGTAAAACAAACTTCAATTTATGGCCTCATTTTGAATCCCAGGAGCCGGTACGGAGGGAGAGAGTTTACTCTTATCTCAGAGGGCGAGGACAAATGCACCTAACTACCTCTCGTAAAAAAATCGGAGTGAATGGGAACTGTGGTCAGGTATTATCAGCATGAGTAGTGACTGCATCGAAGCAAACTACGTTAGCGCAGAATAACGACGTGACAATGGCGTGGGTCTTCGGTTCCGGGAGTGGAAGCGCAAATCCAAATACTGGGTGTCAAGACGGGCTTGGCGACTTCTGCAGTTGTTTTTGCTGGAGACCTTGGTCCCAAGAAAGACGCTACGGCGTTTTGGGAATTGTGTAAATGCTCAGATTGACACAAAGTGAGAGTTTTGGGATGAAAATCAGATCAGGTTTGGATTTTTAATGACGTTTAGGAGAGGCTGTCCGTCTCAAAGCGCCTACTGTCAATATCAATCACGGAATTGAAAAACTGCTGAACTTGTCAGCCAAGGGCTCGTTAATTTTTTTTTTCATTCGTTACCTCGGCCATAGTATGCATATTTGTGCAGCTTGGAGGTCACTAGTGCTGCGCTTCGTCACCTCGTTATAGGGTGCTGGATAGCCTACTTCTTCCAATGAATTCGCAATGGGGCCATCTTCTCTCAAGTAGCATAAGTTCTGTTGACCCTGCCCTGGTCTTTATGCACTTATGGCGTAGGACAGTATAGGCCGCAGGAAGGCCTAGATGACTGTCGTTCCGGTTTTGAGATGCCGCGGTCTAAGATGGTCGTTCATTGAATGCCACAAATATAGCCGGTCTCTCCAATATGGGCTGCCAGTTTGAGTCTAGACTATCATTCTTTAGCTTACCATTGTAAAATATTTTGTAGACAAATGTAGAGGTTTTGGTAGGGGTAGTCAGACCTTAGGTTGCATGACACGGTGGTGAGCAACTTAATTTTTCAGGTGAGTACACGCCTTCTGCGACGCTAAAATCAAAACTATTTAACAAGGCTCTAGAATTTGCACAAGTCAGAAGAATGAAGTTCGTGTGGAAAGACAAGCTATCTAGAACTGATATTTCCAGTTACTTCCCTCTATTCATGCGATTTGCCTTCAAAATGCCTAAACAAAATTCCTAGTGACACTTCCTGAATTGTCTGCTTTACCAATAGAGAAATTTGATTTCACGAAAAGTATTCTTTTGATGTTACTGCTCCTATGCTTCCTAGAGATACCGCTCCTCACTATCATTCTTTGAACTTCAAATCCATTTTGGAAATCGATGTTGACCAAAGCCTTGCCTTTTGACGTGTGAAATTAAATTCGTTAGACTTTGACACCTTCACACCCCTGTAATGGGAATTCTAGAAAAGGTGTTTTCCTATTAGGCAAGTACAGTTAGGTCATATTTTTGTGATATTTACTTTTCAGTCAAAGCAGTTTATAAAAATGCTTCTTTGAAAATTATTTCATTTTCAACTCGGCAATTTCATACCGGCTTTGGGCGCCTCAAACTGAAAACTCATTTATCAGAAGACACGTCTTCAAGATAACTAGAGCACTTTATCCAAGACCAGAACATTCTCCTTCAAATTTGTTGTACTTAGAATGTTATAAGGATACTTAAAATGACATAACAAGCACAGGGATAATATTTTTAGCAATATTTTTACACCAGAATGAAATTAAATGAGCATGTTTTAGGGAAACAACAATCTTCGCGAAGTTGTGTTGTCAATGGGAGACTAAACCAAAACAATTATACTGATATAATAAGCACCGCAGATCAGCTGATTGTGTTATCTGCTGTTTAATTAAACATAACTAAGGTACCTTTGTAGCTGTAATTAGAAGGATTGATGCCACTTACCCACTCCAGATGTAGATAGCATTCAAATCACCGTAATAGTAATGCGTAAGGTAATGTAAATCCTAGAATTATCTTAATAATCCACATACTCCTATGTGTTGGGCTGGTGAATCTCTCAGCATCAGAGCGCCAAATAAATCGCAAAATGTTTA